GCATTTCTGGAGCTTTGGCACTAAGAAGTGCTAAAATATAGTTCAGCAAGTTCTCTGCTTCTCTCTGAGGAGTCCGTTTTGGCCTCACATGTTCTTAAAGACGACTCAGCTGTGCGTCCCAAGAGCCCGAACGGGGAACCTCCCAGTGGCCCAGCGCCGCCGCGCCTTGGCCTTCACACCGTCGGTGTTTTGGAGGAGAACAGAAACCGGTAACTCAGAACGTCTCTCACGCGTGCCTCTGCCTCAGGGAAGAGTTCGAGCTGCCTCTAGTTTGAGACAAAGTGTCAGCGAGAAAGTCCTCGGAGTTAGGGCCCCGAGCTTCAGGTCTCGGGAAGCCATGGGCGCACCCGAATGCTTTAAATGTGGATGCGTGCGGGTGCCACACGCCTGAGTCGGGTTGGCGTGGTTGCCCAGGTAGGCGTCTGGGGAAGCACATCCCCTGGGCTGTTTGGGGCTCCGACATCCAGACTCTAGGTCATAGTGCTGCACGTGTTACATGTGCAAAGTGTGTGCAAGTTGTCCACGGGGCCACTGGGGAATCTCTGGTGGCGCTACACAGGGTTGTGCTCACGGGATTGTCGGTGGACCTGGGGCGACACTCTGCATGTCGGCGAGTCACGTGCCCTTTCACTAGCGACACGGCCGTGGATTGGGGTCCGCCCCCCAGTGCTCTGCTGCTCGAAGTTCAGCGTGTCTGCCAGGGGCGGTGCGGCTGTTCGGCCTTGTCTGGGCGGGCGGGCGGCCGATCTGCCCAGCGAGGTCCCGTGAGGGACCCTGCCCCCTGCAATGCTGGGTCTTCCCATTAGCAGACGAGGGGGCCCGCACTGGGGTTTAGGTCTCGTGTCATGCTTTCAACATGAAAGCGTGTGAGTTAAACACATAAAAACACCCACTTTTACCTTAAATGTCCCAGTAGTTATTTTTTTCATATGAGGCAACTTCACTTCTTAATGAACTGATTGGATCAAAGGAGATTAATCTAGACATTGTTGCACGGTAGCTCTGGGCCTGGAGCCTTCCGGAGGCATCGGCCCCGGTGCCCAGAGGGCCCGTCAGCCCGCTCGGGCACCGGGCACCGGGCACACTCGCGGTGCGCGCTCGCTGTCCCGCGGAGGACGGCTTCCCCTTCGTGAGTCAGCTGCGGGCGTTCCCCACGGATACTGACAAAAGGCCTAGCGTCTGTAGGTAGGCTCGCCGAGTTTTGCTGGTGAAATTAAAACGCCAAAACAAGGCACAGGTAGCCTAGACCCCAGCTAAGCAGTGCTTCCCTCTCCTGCAGCCCGGGCCTCCACATGATTCTCAGACCTCCGGAGTGCTTTTGGCCGCGCAGAAACCTTTCTGTTAGACACTGTGTGTAACTGAAGGGAGACACGCCATTTGTGGCGAAAACAGGGAGGATGAGAAAGCGAATCAGGCCTAGATGTCTTTTTTCAAACAAGTCCCTAGAATAATCTAGCCTCAAATTTGCTGCTTGTCAGAGGCCCTGAAAGAATGCTTCTCATCCAGGAATCGCAGAGGTTCGGGATGGAAACACCTAGAGCAACCCCGAAAGGTTAGAGCTCTTCCTCTCCACCACTGTGCCTCCTTAAAAAAATCAGTTTAAAATGGGATGCTCTTGCACTGAATTTTTCAGTGGGAAAACACACTCACAGTGGTATCAGCAATGGCCCTACCGGAGCCCACGGGCTTGTAAGTGCGTGAAATGTGGGGAAAGAGGAAAAGCTCTCACTCTCCTTACGTGCAGCGTCCCCCCTTCCCCTCGTATGTGATGTGGGGGTCATTATCAGACCACGACTCACAGATCTCAGCCGTGGCTGCACTGTCACAGGACGCCCAGGCCTGCGCACTGGGGGTCCCAAGAACTGTCAGGCCCGGGAGGGGAGATGGAGGCAGGTGACGCTTCAGCTGTCCCGTTAGTAGCCATTTGAGGTTCAGCTTTGGTCAAACTTCTCATGATGTCAAATTACACCCTAGTTTTGTTTGTTTTTAGTTTGTAGACTTTCTGAAATGATTACCGTTAAGCAGGGAATCAAGGAGCAGAGGAGAGAGTATGTCTCCATTTTCGCCTCTGTCAGGAACAGCTGCAAGGATAGCTCATTGGAGAGAGCTTACAACTCTTCCAATAAGTCGGAGAACCGATGTAGAAGTTGCGTGTAGACTTCTGATGTGGCCCAAATATAAAAATCAATTACATATCAAAATAAGTCCTAAGTCCACTTTCTGATTTGAACTTAATAAATGTTGATTTATGAGTATTTTTTAAAGATTTTATTTATTTATTTTTAGAGAGGGGAAGGGAGGGAGAAAAACATCAATGTGTGGATGCCTCTTGTGCGCCCCCTACTGGGTATCTGGCCTGCAACCCAGGTTTGTGCCCTAGACTGGGAATCGAACCTGTGACCCTTTGGTTCACAGGCCAGCACTGAGCCACACCAGCCGGGGCTATAAATGTGGATTTAAAAAAAACTAAAGCAAACACTGGGTCTGCTTGAAGTGGGGCCCTGGTGGGCTCACGGACCAGGTGTGCGTGGTGTCACCTGTGCGCCGAGCGGTCTGCTTCACTCGTTTTCCTGGAGGGGTGGGGGGACCTGTAGGGTGGCACCCACCTAACCTCTGCCCTCTGGGTGTTTCTGCCTGCCCACCTGAAAGGAAAGAGCAGTTGAACTTGTTTAAGTGTTTTTAACTGTCTGAGCTATCTTTCTATAATCTGGAAGATGTCGTTAGTAAACAGTTCCTTATCTGAGTGTTAGTAGAGCCACTGATTTTCAAAAGTTATCACTTACTAGTTCTGATATAAAAGCTGGTGGAGTTCTCTCTTTTATTTTTCAAGGGAAGAAAACATGTCTTGGCTTATTCAGATTTTTCTATGTCTTGTCTGTCGTACCTCCTGGCTGACATTACTCAACACATAATGTCAGGAAGGTGATACAGTATTTTCGTCATTTTACTCTTCCCCCATATTGTTCTGAAGGCGATATAGAGACACTTGAAGAACTCCCCCGCTGAAGAACAGCCGTCCAGTTTCAGTTGATTCTTCTAGCCGCGCGTTCCTTTGCAGTGAGCGCGGGTGGAGAGTGGCGCCCAGGGGGGCGGAGCAGGGGGGATTCTGGAGGGACCTTGGGCAGTGTCAGGAACTTGGGTTTCATTCTGAGAACAGTAAGAACCCTTGGGGGGCTCTGCGTAGAAGGATGATGTGATCTGAAAGGGTGTGATCACGGGGCTGCTCTCAGGAGAGTGCACTGCACGGAGCAAGAGTGGAAGCGGGGACCAGTCAGGGGTTACCCTGGTGGCTCGCCGGAGAGGTGACAGTGGCAGGGTCAGAGTGCTGGTGGCAACGACTTAGACCCTCTTATAAGCAGAAATCTCTCCGACTTCCTTGTATGCTTTCAGGGCGGTCTTTACAGTTAATAACTTTACTTCTGAATTTAATAAAGTAATATTTTGAACTAGCCCATAGTTCTGTGATTTCTAGCCACCATGGTTGTTTTTTTTTTTTTCATTTTATTACTGAAGTTTTGGATAATTCAGTACAGACTCTTAAAACATCCAATTTCATTTTGGATTACTTCTTGTTATTGAGTCTGCCTGCATCTATACTTTATATCACAGTATTTGCCAAAAGTTGCTTATAGTTGTTCATTAAAATTCTTAGTGTCTTTCTTATTACAAAACCTTTCCTGTAGAAAATACAACAAAAATATAAAGAAAAAATGTACAGCCGTAATCTCGCTATCCAGAGAAACATTTTATTTCATTTCCTTCTAGTCTTTTTTCTGTGCATGCACATATTTATAAGTAGTTGTTGTTTATTAAGGAAGTAAATTTTACAAACAGTAGTTTTCATGAGAAGTTCAGTAGTTAAGTTGCTTGCTTCATTTACTTTTTTAATTTTATTTTATTTTAAAGATTTTGTTTATTTACTTTTAGAGAGAGGGAAAGGGAGGGAGAAAGAGAGAGAGAAACATCAATGTGTAGTTGCCTCTTGAGTGCCTCCTACTGGGGACCTGGCCCACAACCCAGGCACATGCCCTGACCAGTAATCGAACTGGTGAACCTTTGGTTCTTAGGCCAGTGCTCAATCCACTGAGCCACACCCATTCTGAACTTATTTTTAATTAAATATATTGGGGCAACATCAGTTAATAAGATTATATAGGTTTCAGGTGTACATTTCTAGGGTACACGATCTGTATATTGCATTGTGTGCCCACCACCGAAAGTCAGATCTTCTGTCACCGTATGTTTGGCCCCCTTACCCTTTACTGTCCTCCCAACCTGCTTCCCTCTGGTCACCAGAGCATTATTTTTTTTATAAAGATTTTATTTATTGATTTTTAGAGAGGGGGGGAAGAGTGGGACAAAGAGAGGGAGAGAAACATGGATGTGAGAGGGGAATATTGGTCAGGTGCCTCTCATAGGCACCCCGACCAGGGACCAAACCTGCAACCCAGGTCCATGCCCTGGTCAGGAATTGACAGTCAGGGCAACCATAGCATTCTTTAAGGTATGTGATCCAATTCTTCTTTTCATCACTTGAGCTGCTGAAAAAGCCATCCTCCAATTAGGTATTTATTATGTAATTCTGATGTGCTTTGATTGCATTGTCTGTGTCTTCTTCAGCCAGCTTTGTAATACTGTCTTTAAAATGCCCATAAAGCCACAGATTAGTCCCGGGGTTACATTTTTTTTTCTTTCCTTGCATTTTTCTTCTCCCAGAGCTATGACTTGGTTAGCTTTGCCAGGATCCACCATCCAAATCTTTAGGTAATATAAATTAAATATGTTAGCCTGTTAATTAATTCTTAGATTGCTTGTAGGATTTATGGTGACTTATTTCAACTTATAGTAAAGAGATTAGAAATCTCTTTCTCAAATGTTTTAGAACTAGCCTAGATATTAGCTGTAAAAACGCATCATGGAAACGAGAAATTCTTTTTTCAGTGTGTTTGTCATGAATGCAGGCTAAAACGTGGTGATGATTCCGGGTGATTATTTTGCAGACCTCAAAGGAAGATCTTCTGCAGGCTGATTTTGAAGGAGCTTTAAAGTTCTTCAGAGTCCAGCTTCCGAAGAGATACAGGGCAGAGGAAAATGCAAGAAGATTGATGGAGCAGGCCTGCAATATTAAGGTAAGATGCACAAATTTATATATAATAAAGGTGGAACTTGAATGCATAATAACATGGCAAATTATGTAAGAGCTAGTCCCCGTGTGTTGTTGGGTTCTGACTGTTGAAAGGAATGTTGTTGCATGTGAACTACTCCCGCCCAGGCTCCCTTGTCAGGCTGATCAGTATACAGTCGCTGTACCTTCTAGTAGTTGGCAGGCTCGGATGGTAACCCCAGGAAGACTGACATTTGTTGTATAGGTCAGGCTCTTGAACGGGCTGCGGTAATAGCGGTTTCCATAGCAGCAGACAAAGTAGTTAGCTTTGGGCATCTGCTTTGAAATGGTTTAGGACGAAGCAAAACAAGCCTGCCTAGGCTCCTTCCTGCGAGGGACCTGGGAGGCTTTGAGTCCCGACCTGCCCGTTCGCACCCCACACCGACCAAGTGACTGGACCTTATTGTTGCTCCTTATCGTGTGTCTGATAAAACCATACACAGTGTGTGGGATAATTTGAAGTAGAAATCTCTAAGCAGAAAGTTTTGGTTTCAAGGTGAGAGGTCACTTTAAAAAAATTAGCACCAATTTACTGATGTTAATTCTTGTACCTATAGAATGTACTAGGGAATCTTCTTACCTAACCATGACATTAATATAAATTTCTTTCCTGAACAAACAGCGAAGATCCCAGGTCTTATGGACCTTATATTCTTGCATAAGGAAACACAATAAACAACCAAGTAAATGAAGACTATACTGCTCTGTTAGAAGGTGATAGATAGCTTCGAAGAGAGAAAAAGTAGGGAACAGGAGAGATGGGGTAGGCGGGGAAGGGGGAGTTGCTGCTGCTGTCAGGTGGGGGGGATGTCCCGGAGCAGGAGCAGTGGAAGGGCTGGGCTCCCCCTGGGGAAGTCTGGGGGACAGGCATCCTGGCAGAGGCAGCGGCGAGTTCCAGGGCCCCGAGGTGGCTCTTGCCTGGTGGGTTTGAGGAACAGCTATAAGGCCAGTGTGGCTGGAGCGAAGTGGATGAGAATGAGAGTAACAGGAGAGGGAGTCAGAGAGCCTGTCCAAGTGTTGACCATTGTGAGGGCTTGGGCTCTCCTCTGAGGGAGGCGGGCAGCCCCGGGAGCGGGGGGGCCCAGAGTGGAGGAGGGATGGGCTCTGCCTGAGTTTAGAGGGTCACAGCGCCCGCTGGGCCGGGAACAGACTGCCGAAGGGCAGGGGTAGCAACAGGGACCTCAGGCGGGGTTTGCGGTGTTGCCCGTTGGGAAATGGCAGCAGAGAGTGATGAGAACAGGGATGGAGAATGGGTAGGGGTGCAGGCGGCTGGAACCTGGGTTATAATTTTGAAGGAGCTGAATTCACAATGTATGTTGCATGGGTGGAAGAGGAAAGGAGGAGCCAGGGGGGTTCTGGAGACTTCGGGCTGAGTGAGTGAAAGACGGAGTCACGACCAGTTCCTTCAGGCTCGTTCCCCAGTGTACTCTGAGTACACTGCGTTTGAGACCTTACCCCGTAACACTTCTGCGCTGGGTTTCAACTTACCTGAAAGTGTTTTCTAAACGTTAAGGTGTACAATTCAATGCTGAAAGTAAGTAACTGAAAAAATTATATTGTCTTTCAAATGAACTCTATATTGAAAGAGATCATTTCCCAAAGATATTAAGAAAGGTAGACCTTTGAAGTCTTGATCCTGAAATGTGGAGTTTTAAAGCGTTCTGGCCTGGTTGTGCTATGTGGCTGGGCCAGGTGATGGAGTGCAAGCCACAGGTACGTGTAGACTTTGAAGATGCACTCCAGGGGTCCTGGTGGCTTTGATTGATTTTGATTGAAATTTGATAGGTAGTCTTCAGCCAGATAATTGTGCCAGAGCTGTCAGAAAAAAGTATTATAAATGGGCCACTGCTGTAGGAATCTATTAAAATAAAACATTCATTTCTAAGAATAAGAGTACAGAGTTAAGAGATACGAATGAGGTGGAAAGTTTAATGTTTTCAAGGGAAATCTTGTAATATTGGAAAATCATTCAGGATGAAAAATCCAGGAAAACCATGCAAAAGTATGAATTTCGCAGGGCAAGATTTTCCCAAGGCCTTTTACGGAGTTCCTCAGAGGGCAAAGGTAACAATCACTAAGACAGAACCGTGGGATCTCAGAGACGTGGAAACACAAAATGTTCGAGTTCAAGTCCAAACTGCAATCCGAATGGACGGCTGCAGTGCAACCAGGCTGATCTTTTTGGTCGTGAATGGATAGATAAAAACATTTTAAAATAATAACAGGGTTGTTACTCTGTTTTGTTTGGGGGGGTTGTTTGTTTTTTTATTATCTAAAGAGAAGGACTTTTTCTCAGATATTTACAACAGTGCCCCCAGGACATCATTTTTTATTAAGGTATAATTGATATGACATTATTAGTTTCATATGTACAGCACCATGATTCAGTATGTTTATGTACTGTAAAATGATCATCACACTAAGTCCATTTAAATCTGTCACCATACATGATTAGTTTCCTTGTGGTGAGAACTTTCAAGATCCTCTCCCCTAGCTACTTTCAGATATGCAGTGCACTACCATTAACCACTGTCACCATGCTGTGCATTACATCCCCATGACTTACCCACTTTATAGTTAGAAATTTGTACCGTTTGGGGTGTCAGAGGGTACAAATTTTGCCCATGCATCACACCCAGCTTCAGGCCACCGCCATTCTGTTCTCTGTTTCTGTGAACTTGGTTTGTTTGTTATTTTTAGATCTCACATAAAAGTGAGCTCACACGGTACTTCTCTCTTTCTCTCTGACTGATTTCACTGAGCACAGTGCCCTCGGGGTCCATTCGTGTCGTCCCAATGTCAAGGTTCCGTTCTCTCTCCCAGCCGAGTCGCGATCCACTGTGCACGCGCATCCTGTTTTCTTTATTCCTGCGTCCATCGGCAGGCGCTGAAGTTGTGTGCCTGCCTTGGCTACTGTAAATAATGTTGCAATGAATATGGAGCAAATGTATCTTTTTGAGTTAGTGTTGTTGATTTCTTCACGTAAATACCTGGAAGTGGAATTGCTAAGTCGTGTAGTAGTTCTAATTTTAATTTTTTGAGGAGCCTCCACACTTTTTTCCAGAGTGGCTGCACCAACTTAGAGTCTCACCAATAGTGCACAGAGATTGCCATTTCTTCATATCCTTGCCAGCATGTGCTTTTGGCAATAGCCACACGAGCAGGTGTGAGTTGGTATCTCATTGTGGTTTTGGTTTGTATTTCCCTGATGATTAGTGATGCTGAGCACCTTTTCATGTACCTGGGTTTGTGTGTGAGTGTGTGTGTTTTGCAATTGAGTTCTTATATATTTTGGGTATAACCCCTTATCAGAGATGTGACTTGCAGATATTTCTCCCATTCAGCAGGCTCTTTTCATTTTGTTGATGGTTTTTTTTTGTTGTGCAGAAGCTTTAGTTGGATACAGTCCCACTTGTTTCTTTTTGCTTTTTTCACCTTGCTTCTGGTGTCAAATCCAGTTATTGCTGAGAGCAATGTCAAGAGGCTTACCACCTATATTTTCTTACAGGATAATGATTTCAGGTCTTCCATTCACACTTTAATACATTTTGAGTTAGCTTTTGTGTATGGTATAAGGTAGGGATCCAGTCTCATTGCTGTGCGCGTGGATGTCCAGTTCTCCCCACACTGTTTATTGAAGAGGCTGTCCTTTCCCCATTGCCATATATCGCTTGACTGTATATGCAAGGGTTTATTTCTGGGATTGATCTAGAAGTCTGTTTTATGTGAGTACCATGCTCTTTTAATTGCTGCAGTTTTATAATACAGTTTGACATCAGGGAGCATGATGCCTCTAGTTTTGTTTTTTCTCATAATTGCTTTTGCTCTCTGGGGTCTTTGTGGTTCCATACAGATTTCAGAATGGTTCATCTGTGGATGTTTCTGTAAAAAGTGGCATTGGGATTTAATGGGGATCTCATTGAATCTGTAGATTGCTTTGGGTACTATGGACATTTTAGTAATATTAATTATGTTAGTCCATGATCACACAATGTCTTTCCATGTATTTGTATCTCCGTCAATTTTTTCATCATTATCTTATAGTTTTCAGTGCACAGATCTCTCACCTCCAAGATATTATTTTGTTCTTTTCAATGCAATTAGACATTTTTTTATTTCTTTTCAGATAGTTCATTATTAGCGTGTGGAGATGCAACAGATTTTTTGCATTGGATTTGTGGCACAGGACGTTGATTTACAGCCTGTGCCTGTGAGGCAGACGCGAGGGGAGACTGAGGGGGCCCAGTGTTCAGGGTTATGCTGGGACTGGCATGGAGGTCTCCAGCCTGAAACTTAACCCAATTTTTAAGCCGAGACCCACACTTTTAAAATAGCTTTTTCATTAAGCCCTTGCCCATACATACACACACACACACACACATACTTATCTGAAGAGATACTTACCCTTATCATATATGATGCACACTGATTTTTCTCTTTTACTGTACTGTAGCCTCTTTCATTTTAAACTTCTCCCTCCCTCCAAGAAAAATCCCCAAACCCAAAAGCTAGTCACGACCTACTAAATCGGTTTCGAGCAATGACTTGCAGTTTTGAAAACCCCTAAGGCCTGTCCCACCGTGTGCACCTCCTCCCGCTGCCAGCTCCCACCCTGTGCAACCTGCGCGAGGGTGTGGGCGCGAGGCCCACGCGCAGCAATGGCAGCGGGGTGCGGTGGGGCTGTGAGTCAGCGCCCCTCAGCACAGCAGTGCACGCCGGCACCTGGGCAGTGTGGGACGCCATGGGTTCTCAGACCGAGGCCCTGTGTTAGACCGTGTTCGCGGACCGCAGGCGGGGGAGGCGAGAGAGCGGGGTCACAGCTTCTTATCTACAGCGTGTTTCAGGTTAAAGATAGCATTTCTGTCACAATAATAAACGTTCTCCTTTCAATTTTAATTATTTTTAAAGTCAGTAATTGTCTATGGTTGTATTTTCTTCGAATGGAATGTTCTCATTTCGTTCCCC